ACCTTAGTAGTGTAAATAAACATGAATTTTAAACAGGCGAATAACAAGTCGCGTGCCTTCGTCTCTGCGCCGGTTCACACCGGTTGAGTTTAGAGGTGCATTTCAGAAAATCCTATGATACTATGTAGAATACACATGCGCAACAAATATATTCATCGACGCACGCGCCGTTCACGCCTTAGTAGCTGCCAAATATCATAACAGCATCTCATTAACACGCCGTAAAACTCCAAACTCTTTATGAAACAACAACAAATATGTTGTTTACTATTCACATTTGAAAATAATGATGTAACATTTCATTATTAATTATCATTTTAAGTACCCAGAACAACAAAATGTCTTCTGTTTAAGTACATAAACAATTTAGAATACGCTAGTTAGGAGTACCATATCGTTCCTACTTAATATTTAATATGTATTATAAATAAAACTACTTTTTCACGGGTTAATGCACGAAACTTTATTTATTTATAGACGGTAGTTTACGGTAGTTAGGGTCAAATAAATAAATTCAAAATTACAAAATTTTTTTTTAAATAAAGTACTTTATTAACTAAATTAAGTAATAAATTCATACATAGACAATAAATTGCTCAAAACGCTCAATAAAAGTCTTTCGAAGGTAGCTCGACCAAATTAAATAAAAAAAATTGATTCCGACGACGCAGCCTGTAAAGGCTGCGAAACGTCAATAAATAAATAAGGGTTCGTGCATTAACCCGTGAAAAACTAGTTTTATTTAATGAGTTATGTGCGTGAAAACCTAACAAACAAATATGTATTATAAATGCGATAGTTTGTATGGATATTTGTTACTTTTTCACTCTCAAAAGGGATTTGTGTGGAGTTTGTTACATATAGAGTTTATCCACTAGATTGACACATAGCATACTTTTTATTGCGGAAAAGTTTTCGCAATAAAAATCTTTTCGCGCGGATGAAGACGCATGCGGAAGCTCGTACAACATAATACAATATTTGGCAAGTAGCTACGTGTCCGATAGTAAATTGTAATTTAGCTTTTGTATAAAAATATTCAAATAAGAAAAGATTTGTATGTTTGTACCGAATGGACTCAAAAACAACTAGACCGATTTTAGAAAAATTTCATTAGAATCACATTATTGCTAAGTAACATAATATACGAAATGAAGTTCACCGTGCAGAGCCGGAACGGATGTTTTGTATGTTTTTTTACTCGATCTCGCAAAAATGGTTGTCTGGAATTGGATAAAATTTGGCAAATGTATAGTTTATTACCTTAATCGAAATGTAGAATACTTTTATCCCGAAAAATAATGAGACCTCTGGGGGATTTTCACAAAACTAAAGTTAACACAAACGAACTCGCGGGCGACGTGTATGTAAAAAGAGTGTCAAACAAGCATAATTATTATCTGCCTAATAGCACATTGTAGAAACTTAGGAAATATATAGACTGTGTTGTGACTGTGACTTGAGCAGCTCAATGGCGCGGGTGGTAAGCGCGTTCGGCTGCGATCGTTAAAGTTAAGCAACTTTCTCAGCGGTCGTTCATTGGATGGATGATCAAAAATCTTCTATATCGAGTTCCTCAGTGCTTCGGAAGGCAAGTTAAGCCGTTACCTGGCTGCATTTGCAGTCATTAGCACCCGCAAATCCGCACTGGGCCCGCGTGGTGGGTCATAACCCAATCTCCCTATTCTATCCATAGGAAAGGCCTGTGCCCCAGCAGTGAGGACATTAATAGGCTGATGATGATAGTATAGACATACGGAGCCGAGACGTGGACACTGACAGCACGGCTGGTCCGCAGGTTCAAAGTCGCTCAGAGCGCTATGGAAAGGGCTATGCTCGTGAGGAATATATGAAATGAGGTAATCCGACAGAGATCCAGAGTTATCGACATAGCCCACCGGATTAGCAAGTTGAAGTGGCAGTGGGCTGGCCATATTTGCCGAAGAACCGATAACCGTTGGGGTAGATGAGTTCTGGAGTGGAGACCGCGTCTAGACAAACGTACTGTAGGACGTCCTCAGGCACGATGGAGTGACGATTTGCGCAAGGTGGCTGGCAGGAGCTGGATGCGAGTAGCCCAAGATAGAACTGAGTGGCGTGCATTTGGAGAGGCCTATGTCTACCAGTGGACTATGATAGGCTATTGATGAAGATTGATGATGATAGTATCACTCTGACTCTATCGCCTACCCCGTGAAGCCTTGGAACCTTTGCTCATTGACAGAAGCACAACACCACCGAAAGGTAGTGTTATTTTACTGACAGGGGCGTATTAACCCTAGGGCCAAGATAAAAAGGGGAGCGGTGCGGTGAGCAATAGGCCGCGCACTTAGCTCCTAGCGCGGGCAGTTATGTGCACGTCTGCGGGATCAGCCAAAATACTCTGGGTGATCCCTGCCGTGGAGACCTGGTAGGGCCGGGAGGCTGTTTGGCGCGGAGACGCGGTGAAGTCCTACAGAGGGGATCTCGCGGTTCCGCACTTAACAGCGTGGAGGGTATTCGCAGGGTTTTTAGCGGATAGTATGCCGTAAACGCTCGTAAGCCACACGCAAGCTCGCAAGAGGCTAGAGGCAAGAGGTTTGAGGCTAGGGGGCGCGGTACGGTGGACACTAGGCCGCGTACTCAGCCCCCGAGCGCGGGCCATCCTGCGCACGTCTGCAGGGTCCCCGCAATACCTCAGGAGACCCCTGTCTTGGAGCCGCGGCGAGGCCGGGAAGCTGCTGGCTGTAGGGGTGCGGAGAAATCCCTCACCAGGGGATCCCGCGGCTCCGCATCAAGCAGTGTTGAAGGTATTCGCAGGACTTTTTAGCGGATATTATGCCGTAAAGCGCCCGTAAGAGGTGCGGGGTCCTCGGTGGGCAGCCACTGAGGGGTCCGTTGACTTGCGGGAGCCAGGTTTGAGGTCCGTTCGGCGGTGTGCCTCTTAAAGGCACCGTCGTCTGTTAATAGAGGCTTTGCCTGGGTACAAAAAAAAGGGTCATGATAAATGAGCCTAGCCATGGCCCGGGGCAGCAGACTACGAGACGCAGCTACAAGAGCTGCAAGCGGCAAAAGCCATAAAGGTATTCCTTACTGGACCTAATAGGCCATCAACTTGACGACCTCCGAGGCCGAATGGTTTGTAAGCCGGGTTTCATGGTGCGCCTACTCGAAAGGTCCCGGGTTCGAATCCCGGTGGGAGCAGGTGTTTGTGTGATGAATACGAGCATTTGTACTCCTGTCATGGATGTTTCATATGTAGTTCTATATAAATATACTAATATATGTATCAGTATATGTATTCCATCCGTTACCCTAGTCTCCCATAACACAAGCCTACGGTGCTTATTTTGGGGCTAGGCGAATTGGTTTGAGTATTGGAAAAAAATATTTAATTTACATTTTATTTAATCGTAAGTGGGCCATGACACCAGATTTCAAAATATGCCCGTTTACTGATCTTCTGTAAGGCGGAGGTTACTTCCAAAGACGGACACTCCAATATGAGCAAAGAACGTACTAGGCCTTATTTTTCCGTCAAAATTTTGTAGTTACATTTATTTGACGACCTCCGTGGCCGAGTGGTTTTGTACGCCGGGATTCATGGTGTCGCCGACTCGAGAGGTCCCGGGTTCGATCCCGGTGGGGGCAGATGTTTGTGTGATGAATACTAGCATTTGTGCTCCAGTCGTGGATGTTTAATATGTATTTCTATATATATATTTGTGTACTATATATGGATTCTTTTTCATTCAGATGATTGATCTGATTTGACCAGATTGATTCAGAGGAGCTCGATGGCGCAAGTGGTTAGCGCGTTCGGCTGCGTTCGTTGAACTTAAGAAACTTTCGCAGTGGTCGGTCATTGGATGGGTGACCAAAAATTAATATTTCGAGCTCCTCCGTGCTTCGGAAGGCACGTTAAGCCGTTGGTCCCGGTTGCATCTGCAGTAGTTAGCACCCACCAATCCGCACTGGGCCCGCGTGGTGGGTCATGGCCCAATCTCCCTATTCCATCCATAGGGAAGGCCTGTGCCCCAGCAGTGGGGACATTAAAAGGCTGATGATGATGATGATATGGATTCTATCCGTTACCCTAGTATCCCATAGCACAAGCCTCACAGTGCTTACTTTGGGGCTAGGCTAATTGGTGTGAGTGTTGGAAATATTATTTTTTTATTTCTTTACAGAAGCTCAATTCTAATGATTTATTATTATGAAATAAAGAATAACTGTTACCTCGAGATGAGTTTCGAGCGATGCAACTGTAGTGTTAAGACTGTAGAATAAGAATTTATTTTCAATCCTTTGCATTTAATATAGTAATTTTGTTGATGAATATTTGATACACTTCAAACATACAGACAAACTGACAAAAAAATAAAAAGAAGTAAAATTTTTAATGAATGTACACCATTTATTGAAATTTTAATAATCGAGATAAAAAATATAATTGCTACTTAACAAATTAAACAATAGCACAAAAACTCAATGACTTTAATGACACACAAAAAAGTAATTTCGTGGTCCAATTATATATAGATGATTATAACTATTTTAAGATTACCAATTTATTTTAATTAAATAAACGTAAATAAAAGTCTTGTCGACGCTATATATAACTGCACGTTTCCATTGTTTCATTATATTAATGCGTGAAAATACATTGTAGTCCGTTAAGCAAATTTTTGTAGCACTCGTATTTAGATGATTTGGGACGCGAATACATCCTGCGACGGCCGCGGTGTTCTGGGTAAATTCGTTTCCAGAACATTCTCGACTCTATATTACACAGAAATAATAAAATGTTCTATTATTAATTACATATTTGTATTATTTTATGTATTTTTATCGCTTGTTCCAAATTTTTATTCGATAACACAAGCCTTACAGTGCTAACTTTGAGACTAGATTTGGTGTTATGAATAAAAAAAATATTAATTGTAAATCCGTCCACGAAGCAATGGAAACCTGCACCGTCTACGCGAATCCCCTTATATTTCAGTACACAGTGATGCCAGCACAGTTGAGTGCAGTTCGCAGCATTAGTACCAAAGTATATATTTGAACAGTGATAAATCGATAAAAGTTTATATCATGAACGGCTATATCTCGGAACCAGTGAACTTGTTGAAAATGGACCACAGGTCTTTCAAAAACTTCTTGAATTCATTTGACCATGTATTTTCGGATTGTGACGGTGAGTTACGTCTTTGGTATCTCTGTGTGTATGTGTGCGCTATCTCATTTTCAGAACATCATCATCATTAGCCTATTAATATCCCCACTGCTGGGGCACAGGCCTTGCCTATGGATGGAATAGGGATATTGGGCCATGACTCACCACGCAGGCCCAGTGCGGCTTAGTGAGTGCTAACGACTGCAGATGCAGCCGGGACCAACGACGTAACGTGCCTTTCGAAGCACGGAGGAAATCGAGATAGAAGATTTTTGGTCACCCATCCCATGACCGACCACTGCGAAAGTTGCTTAACTTCAACGATCGTAGCCGAACGCATTAACCACCTGCGCCATTGAGCTCCTTGGTTGCATTTTCAGGAGTTTCCGCCCAAATGGTAACAATCTGAAACCTATTTTTTATTATCTATTTCATGATAGTCCACATTAGGTGGCGAAGTGCTAGTAGAGTCCAGACGTGAGGATAAGCTGGTGTCTATCTTATCCTTATCGTTGTCTATCTGTCTGTTACAAGGATTTTTCTCTTAGATGGGATATAGGTACTGTGACTGCTATCACTACAAATAAATAATAAAGATTTTTTTTTCTCCTTTCATCATTAATTTGTGGACATTGGTGTGGCTTGTATACTTACCTAATTGATATTTACATTATAAATTTTAGTAATATTTAGTGTATAACTGTTCTTTGTTCCCATGTGTTAAAAAAAGTTATAATATAGTAAAACAAATTAATGGTAGTTATACAGAAAACGTGATATTTCCGACTTTTGCTTGTGCTAGTTTAAAATTTTCTACTACAGGGTCAAGTGGGGAACAATGTAACAAGGGGCACAGTGTAATACAAGGGATATCTCTGGCCTTTCCTTATTGAAACGAAGGAGATAGGGATTTTGCTGCGCGACCGAACTGAAAAAAATGTGATAGTAAAACCGTAAGAAAAAATCCGTGGAAAAAAGTGCGTGGAATAAAACCGTTAAATGAGACGTGCGCAGGCGCGACAGACGCATACACAAGCGAGTTTGCAATTTGTGTCGATTCTACATTAGCCGAAGGTCCTACCTGGTGTCCCACGACACCACATCATTTCTTTTTTTTTTAAAAGTACATCTTGACGTGGTTTTAGTTTAGTTTTTAATTTTTTTATTAGTTTTATATGCTGCTATCTTACATTATCATCATACATTGTGCCCTCTGTAACACTGTCCCCCACTTGACCCTATCTATGGTACAGGAACCCTTTCTTTGCGAGCCCGATTCGAACTTAGCCCTGTTTTTTTTTCCTTTGAATATGGATCACGTTCTGTTTACCATGTCCAAACGTTGCTTTATTTAGAAAGTCAATATTATGTACAAAGTTTTACAGCGCAGTCAATTGGCCTGGTCCCAAACTAAACACTGTTTGTTTTTATTTGATTCACCAACGTTTGTTTGCATATTTTCTTAATACTATACATGATTTGATTATTTCTTCATGTAACATAAAATTAAAGGTAATACACCAAAAATAGTTCACAACAAAATTTGTGCGTGACAATGAAATCTGTTTAATGTATGACAAAACATTTACTAGCTTTTAGTAGAACAGTCACAATATTTAACTGTTTACAAATATTCAGAATTACCGTGAACACATCATCATATTGTGTGAAAATTTCAACTGTCATGCTATCACGGTCCATGAGATACAGCCTGGTAACAGACAGGCAGACAGTGGAGTCTTAGTAATAGGGTCTCGTTTTTACCCTTTGAGTACGGAACCTTAAAAATGATGATTTAGGTAGGTTTATTAAAAATATATCGATACAAAAATTTACGATTACAAAGTTTGTACGTTGAGAATAGACTTTTGGTTTTAAAATAGATATCAGACAGAATAAATTGGTATTTCTCGGAAAGACTGATAAAACAAAGCTCACCTTGGGCAGCGGTTAATTTGAGCGGTTTCAATCGCCTTAAAGAGGAGTAAAGGAGATGTAAGCTATATTTAATTGCGACAATAAAACATCAAAGGGTGATGAAAATAAGTATTGAAATACAATAACTCTGTGCAAACGAATCCTCCAAATCTATTCAGCAGCATAGCAGTTTCTGCGTTATTGAGTAGCGAGCATAGGTATTTATTACATTATATTGACAGTGGGAAAGAGAAATCGCTTAAACGCCACTTTAGTAACTTTACAGAAACGACGATCAAAGATTTTATTTTCACTTAAAAAAACATTACTCATTGTAAATCCTCGATGACACGGGGCAAGTTTACAAGCTACAAGCACGGTAATATTATCTATACAGTATTCTATCTTCATACAAACGCCTCTCGAGTTCGCGCGGCACCCGATGGGCATCCAGTCTCGAATGCGCCGCAGCGATGACCGAACGGTGTGAATTGCTTTTAAGCAGTTAGCCTTGCTTAAACGTTTATATTGTGAGTATTTGGTGGAATTAAGTAGATACCTACATAATTTAATATGGCAAAGAGCCAATAGTCGATATTGTGCTGGTTTTGGTCGCTAAACTCTTCAATAATTAAACTTTTTATACGAACGCGTATATATTTTACTATTAAATTTAATTGTAAATATTTTTCTGTCTCAAATCTATATATTTTTTTATTAAATATTACACTTAAAGTAGCATGTATTTTATGTAAAACTTCCTAATTCATTCACAAGTTTTTTTTTACATATGAAATAAAGAAACTCAATTACGTAGATGAAATTGAAATACTGTAGGCGGGCAGCCCTACCGCATGGATAGGCCCCGCTCGGCCGTAGGCAATTATTTCAAGGACAGGGTCGAGTCACAATACTGTATAGATAATATTACCGTGCTACAAGCCGGCGAGTAGCTTGTAAACCCGTCCCGTATCATCGAGTAGCAGATGGTAAAAAAGCCGATGACACGGGGTGAGTTTACAAGCTGCTGTCGAACTCGCTGACTTGTAGCTTGTAAACTCACACCGTGTCATCGAGGTTTAAATGTAAAGAAGCGCCATAAAAATAAAAACATGTTCATTAAATAATATTTCCTAAATATCCTCCTATTAAAAAGTTACATAGTGCCTTTGCTTAACGAATTAGATGTCGCTTAAGCGAAAAACATTCAGCCCGCCATACATTTTTGTGAACCAAACATCAAATCATACGCCAAATAGTAGGGAATAAGCGCCATTGGTTCAAAAAACACCAAAATTTATGTCGCTTCAGCGTTGTGAACAATGAAAACAATCTTCAAAAAATTGAGTTGCTTCATCGTTAAAAAAGTACTCAAATCTTTACGAAACATTAACAGATCGACGCAGAAAAAAATCTGATTAAAATGATATATGTACTCATTTCAATCAATGTATACTCATGTATACTCAAAGTATACTCATGTATACTCAAAGTATACTCATGTATACTCAATGTATACTCATTTCCACCAAAGCGGCGTATAAGCGATTTTGCCTTTCCACTGATGATATAATATTCTAAATTGGATTTACATCTACAACCAAATCCAAATGTGGCGTTTTCGAGCTGCAAATCCTATGCTATGTATATAATTTTTTATTCTGCTTTTTACTATTTTTTAAACTGGGATATTGCTGATTGAAACTTTTAATATCGCCACTTTTTTTTCGTTCATTTTCAGCATGTCGCATTATATTTTTACTTATTATTTAAAAATTAGAGGTTATCACCAAACAGCGATAGCTCAGTGGTAGAAAGCACGCATTCCACACGGGCAGCCTGCTTTCGATTCCCGATCAAGGGAACACTTTTTTTACATAAGCCAAAGTAACATCAACTTTATAAGTTTCACTTGTATCGTGGTTTCATCATTCCACACCAATTTTATTTTTAACTAACTATCAAAGTGTTTTGAAAAGTTTGTTTTATAAACAGTATTTGTTTTGTTTGTTGTCAGTATTCGTTTTATAAACAAGACCTGCATACAGGATTAGTGATTGACAAAAACTTTACCTGTCTGCAAGTAACTATATCAATATACCTACTTCATAATATTGTTACGAACATGCAAGTAAATATTATGTTCCGAGATCTTTGTTATCAATTGACTCACTGCTTGATGTTATATATATTAATTAGCGGCAGCCCGCAACTTCTTTAAATTTAGTTTCTTGAGAACCCCATAGGAACCTGATATTTTTCTCGGGGGAAAAAGTATCCTAAGTCTCAATTCGGATTATAAACTATACACATACCAAATTTCATCCAAACCCGTTCAGTAGTGTTTGCGTGATTGAGTAACGAACGTACAGACACATTAACACACAAACTTTCACATTCATAATTTATAATATAATAATACTATATAAAGTAGGAAAATAGCATAGTATAGAGAGAAGTAGACATCGCTGGAGGAGACCTTTACCCAACTGGGGGACCCTGCTAATAATAATTAATCATACCTGGTGATATTGTTATAAAAATAGTAAATTAAGAAGCAATGTAGCAGGATCAAATAAATCATTTTTATTTTATTATTTAATACAAAGTAGGAATACCTAAAAAAATAGTTGGAAATGTGTTTCATTCCAATTACTCCTGTCTGTAGGTAAGTAATTTTATCAACGTATGAACGTTGCATGCACGATGGCGCAAGTGGTTAGTGCGTTCGGCTGCGATCGTTGAAGTTAAGCAACTTTTGCGATGGTCGGTCATTGGAGTGGTGATCAAAAATTACTATCTCGAGCTCCTCCGTGCTTCGGAAGGCACGTTAAGCCGTTGGTCCCGGCTGTATCTGCAGTCGTTAGCACCCACCAATCCGCACTGGGCAAGCGTGGTGGGTCATGGCCTTTTTTTTTATTTATTTTTTGTGACGAGGGGAAATTTACGCAGAAAGCAGTTACGCACTATACCGTGACGCTGACTAGGCGCACGGCGTGTGTGGGACTCGCCGGCACGGGAAACAGTGCCGACCCTACTCAAGCAGGACCAGTGCGGAAGGCCACACTGATCCTACTCCACTAAAACCCCCCGGTACCCTCCTA